AGGTCCCGTCTTATTCGCAAAACCCTTGTAGACCAGTGTTATTAAGGTCAGGTGGATTAAGGTACCTAAAGAAGAATGAAATGCGCTTTAATTTTTTTATTAATATTCTCTGAACGTAGACGGCATGCGTAGTGGGAGGTGCTACGACTTCTTGCGAACTCTCATTCCTGCTTAGTTTACAACAGGTCATTCCGTTCAGCTGTCTTTTTGTAATGGGTTCAAGGTTATGGTTCTCTGAACGTGCTCCACCTATTGGAGATGCCACGCCCCCGTTCAAACACTTACTCCCTTTCAATTTACTATAAACGCCACACCCTCTTGTACAAACTCATTTGTATACATTTACCACAGATCTTCTCACCAAATTTCAAAGTCATGTGAGTTAGGGGCCCGAAGATGTGAGATTTCACGGCTATGGAATGTGCCGTGGCACCTTGTGCAAACTCACTAATATTTACATCGCTATAAGCGCCTACTTTATTTATGTCTTCACACTAAATTTCGAAGTCATGTGGCTTATCGTTCCTAAGTTATAGGTGACGCCTGTAAGATGTTCTACGCCCCCTTTTACAAACTTATTATATATATGGATACTTTACTTTAAACATCTATCATAGGTCTGTCTTCACACCAAATTTAAAAGTCGTGTGACTTACGGTTCCGAAGTTATTGCAGATTAAAAGTTTCACGCCTATGGGAGGTGCCTCGCCCTACAAACTCATTCATATATACCCTACTTATAAGCGCCTACCATGGATACGTCTTCATACCAAATTTAAAATTCATGTGATGTCTGATTTCGAAGTTATGGCTGATTAAAAATTTCACACCCATAGGAAGTGCCACGCCTCTTTTACAAAAGTGTATCTACTTCACAATCATAGATCAGATCATAGATATGTATGTGAACACACCAAATTTCAAAGTCATGCGACTTACGGTTTCGAAGTGATAGCTGATTAAAAATGTCACGCCTATGGGAGGTGCCACGCCCCCTTATCAGATTCCATTTTTTTATACCCTAGGTTACGTCCGAGGTCACTCTCTATACACCAGTTAAAGCCCCATGAAAATCCATTCAATAGTTCCGGAGATTGGTGAGTTCAAACAGACAAACAATTTACAGTTTTATTATAGTATATATAGATAGATAGAAAAGAAAAAAAGTTCCGCCGCCCGAGACTCGAACTCGTGATCTTTAGAACGGCACGCCTATGCTCCCCTCATTCGGCCATTGCGACTGTTGGAGCGACGCGAGCTAAATGATATACAAGTGATTTCTCTCGAAATAGCTTTTCACCGCGAGTGGTGAATGGAAGACCTTTTTTTCTAAGACTTTTGTGCAAGAATAACAGAAGTGTTTCGAACTCTCTTGCCATTTGCCTTTCATTAAGACTATTTACTGTCTTAGCCTGAATTTCCCTGTTACCAATCAAGTAGTTCATGGGGACGTAGAAAACTCCCTGCAGAATTGTGTTGCAGAAGCGAAAGAAGGTGCTTCTTAATGTGATTCTTCAAACTGTCGCTGCCCAATTTTGCGTCTTTTCTCTGCGAACGTATCTGCAATGTCTACACTCCCAGCTACAACCATATATTCTTTAAGTATTGATGGTCATTGATCCCTGCACTCTTTCAATTCATCAATTAGGCTCTGTATGTTCTCTGCTTCCATGTCCAGTTTCCCGCTTGCAGAACGAGATTTCGATGGTGCTGTCAAAACTTTGAGCCAATTCGAGGCCATGAGGATACACTCGAATGTCTTATTTAAACTATGATAAGCACAAGGTGCGAATGTTGCGAAAAAGTTATGTCTCAGAATATGACTCTGTGCTTCTTTGTAATGGCCGCTCATATTACTGCCATTGGCATACCCTTGCCCACGACAGTCAGCCAGTTGAATGTTGTGCTTTTGTAGAGTGCTATGGAACAGCTGAGCGACAGTATTGTTTGTTTTGACGTTGCAATCCACAAACTCCAAGAATCGTTCTTGGATTTTCCAGAGTCCTTGTCGAATAAACCATAATGCAAAATGATGACGCAGTCTGCTGAAGCTGAATGATGCTGCGCTGAATCAGGGGTTGCATCGACGATAATTGTGTAATACTTGACTGCTTCTCTATTTTTTTCTATCATGACCAAGAACGTTTTCAAATAAATTTGGGCATATGTAAGCTCAAATAAAGATGCCAGATCGTATTTAAAATAAGCTGAGTATATTGTTTTAGTATGTAGAATTTTTACTTCAGCATGAAGTGAGTGCTTGTTATTATAATGATAATGTCCATTTAACCAAAGATAGTATTACTTATTCACATAATCAACATTTTTTGTAGCTAGAAAATATATTTTAATATCTGGTTAAAATGTCTTCAATGCTGTTGGGCCCGTTCCCCAAAATACTACGGGCCCCGGGGCAAATGCCCGCATGCAGATTATACGGATATTAAAAAAATCCGTTTAATTAGAGCCCCCAACTCTACAAAGTACTGTTGTACGGGGTAATTCGGATTCCTGTGAAAATACTTAAGCAAGTACAGCGCTGTGGTGTAGTGGTTAGAAGTGCACACTACCATTCCGCAGGACCTGGGATCGAGCCCAGTTTTAGACTAACTTAAAAAAGGAAAATAATGTATTCTGACTCCGAGTGTTTTCGGTACAAAAGACTTAAATGCACAGCCTACTCAGTTTTATTGAAAAGTCCTTGAGTTAAAAGGACTATTGTCTTGTAGCCTTTCTAGACTTTGAGAGAGCTTTTAATAACATAAATTCGCCACTCCTTTCTAATTTAATAGTGAACCCCTCTTGTCATCAAGTTTTTCGTTTGGTACTTATGTATTTAACTCGTAACATAACGGAATGCGTTCTCACATGCACCGAGATTGGTATGCCCACAAATAAGGAGTGCCGATTTTCCCTTGTGGGGGGGGAGACGAGACATCATCACGTTTGTTATCGCAAACGTAATAGATGCGTATATCGACCTAACTCGGCAGCCAGTTCGAAAACGCCTAATCTCAAAAAACTTTTCAAAAAGGCCCTATTTCAGAATTTAATTGAAAAACACCCTATCAAAGAATTTGGTTCAAGAATGCCCTATCTCAGAATTCGGTTCGAAAACGCCCTATCTCACTTCAAAGTGTATTGAAAATATGCTGATATAGGGCATCTTTGAATCGGCAGCTGAGATAGGGCGTTTTTGAAACGAATTCTGAAATAGGACGTTCTTCAACTAAATTCTGAAATAGGGCGTTTTTTTTTTAGTTTTTTGAGATAGAGCATTTCCGAACTGGCTGCCGAGATAGGTCGATCTTCTACTCAGCAGACGATATGTTGGTAACTATAAGTTTCATTTAAATATTATCTAAAAAAACATTTATTGACACTTTGAAATGGTCTACTATAGTAGGCCACGCATGCATTGGTGTAAAAAGGGCGCGTGCGCTCTATGTAGTGTTAAGCTAAGAATAAAGCTGCAATATTTACGAGCCATTGCACTTTGGCGATGGCGAATACCGCAGACGATGGAAAGATGAGCTTTACAGCGATATAGACAAGGTGCAAAGAATTAAAATCCAGCGGCTACGCTGGCTGGTCATGTCGTATGAATGGTCAGAAACGCTCCATTTCTGAAAGTATTGAACCCGGGTCGCGATGCTGGTAACTGAAAAAGAGGAAGGCCTCCTCTTGTAAAGACTAGGTGGAGAAGGACTTGGCTTCACTTGGCATTTCCAATGGGCGTCAGTTGGCACAGAAGAGAAAGGAGTGGTGTGCTCGGCCAAAATCGCTTTAGAACTACGGTGGTGGAAAAATAAATATGGACACGACATTTTAACAAATTTTTCTTATTTGTCTTATGTTTATTTAATAATTATTTTTTTTTTTTATATAAATTCATATATCAAGCTTTGTGTAAAAATTATAAAAATTCTGTAAACTTGCATCTAAATTTTCAACTTTTTAATTAGATTTTTTAGTTTTTTTTTAAGTATGCAGTTTTTAGCCATTTAAGTGGAATGAAGTGTAAGTTTTAAGTTTCTAAAAAATCGCGATTATTTTTGGCAAATTTTTTTAACGCATTTTCGTCCATTAAAAGTATGTTCGGCAAGTTTTTTTTGTATGGAAAGAAGTGCGTAATACATAGAGAATAAAAATAATCAAAAATCAACGCGATTTTTTTGGAACTTCAAACTTGCACTTTATTCTACTAAAACTTAATTGGCTTCAATCTGATTAAAAAGTTCAAAATTTTGAAGCAATTTTGCAGAATTTTTATAATTTTTGCACAAAGTTTGAAATATAGATTTATATGGTTTTTGTTAGATAATGAACTATACTTTTATAAAAAAATAATAAGCATTAAATAAACCCAAGAAAAATAGAAATTTTTTTTTTTAAATGTCATGTCCCTATTTCCACCACTGTATTCTTTACCTTCGCTGTGTTGGCATGAATGCACTTGTTCTTTTATTAGTTGCTGATCTCACACTGTACTTATTTGTTGTTTTCTTTAGCCTTTTTATTTTACATATTACATATTATTTGGATTTTTTTCCTTTTTAAGCGCAACAATTCGTCCTTATATGCAGTTCTCAAACCAAAAGTTTCCTAAATTTCGCACTTTATGCACCTAGTGCAGTGACACCGAGTGCATATCTTTAAAAGTCCAATCATTCAAATAAGCTAAGCAACGAAAGCTTCAAATCGCGTAAAATCAAGTTCTTTCGAGGAACATAGGAAATCGAATTTATGCAAAGAATTTCCGTATTGAGGATATTTCTCTTTCAAACAAAAAGCTCAACTGAAAGTTGCAGAAGAATTAAAATAATTTTTTTTTCAAATACAGCACTGGTTACAATCCATTATTTTATTTTCATGTTGTATCCTTTTGGTTACTATTAACCAACTTAGTTATGGGACAATCCCAGGATCACTTGTAATTGTAGTTTGTAGAAATCTACTTAAAATTTTTACAAATTTCTCCAAAAACTTTTTATACTAACCAAGTACACTGGCGGTATAAAAAAAGTAACAAACAAAGAACTTCATATTGCGTAACTTAATAATAAACACTATTAGCAAATATTCTACATTCGCAAGATTTTTAAACAATTCGGTAAATATCGTGAACTTGCAAAATTTAATATTTTTTACTACACGCACTTAACCGTTGAATGTCCTGTGCACTACTGAACTCAGGAAATGCAGTTTCGTACTACTTAAAAAACAATTCACGGACATTCATATCTTGATGCCGACGGACATAAGTAGCAAAGCTTCAATCAGCGTAAGTATTTTACTTGCCAGTTAAGAACAAGTTTAATTGTTTTCAATATCATATATTCATCGAAGTGGGTAAACTTAAGCGACTCCTGCGAATGTAATTGATTTACCGTTTTGCTTATTTGTACTCAGATTTTTTTTTTAAATGCATGACATGAATTTATGCCATTATTTGGTTGCCACTTTTTATCTTTTTCCCTTGACTTGCTTTTATAGCCCTTTGTTTTATTTATTTTATTTAATAGTACCGTTCTACATACATATACTGCGATCTGAAAATTTAAACGTACAGTAATGGCGCGATATGGTGAACACTTTTTAAAATAGACAACGCAGCAATCAGAATACGAAGGTCCAATGCATTACAGTCAACGCACAATACACCTTCTTGGACCCCTCACACCTCTTGACGCACCATTTTTGCTTCATTTGTTGTAGTATTTATTAGGACTTCAAAAATTTCCGGCAAACCTCCGAGCGTATTTCAGGCTTGATGCGGCTAAAAATGGCGACTTAGTTTGTGTTATAACTTAACTGACTTAAACGCCACGTTGAATTTAAAAAACTCCATACGATTTTCATAAAGAATTTGCCTACATTAAAGCTTTTAGCTGCCAATGCTGGGAACTCGAAAAGTTAGTGTAAGCGTGTTCCCCACTTTCCTCGACATTACAGCCACGCACAGAGAGTTATACGGGATACTCGTTTTAGCTGCGGAAACCAGGGTCCTGCGACCTTTGTTCTTGACCTTCCCTCGCATTTTTGCAAGTTTCTAGACATGGCTCAGCCAGATTGGCGTCAATTTCAAGTGTATTTCCCTCACTATTACTCAGAGCGGTCCGTCTATTTGTTGTCACGCCTTCGACCTCGTCATAAGATGCTCCGGCACTATCCCATTCGTCGGCGTCTCGTTACCGTATAAGTTCTTTTGGCACGGAACTTTAACGAGTAAGATATCTACTAATTCGGCCGTCGAGCTTAACCGACACATGCCAATCTCTGACCAATTAAGAATTTGTTATTGGTGCTGGCAGTGTCAGAAGAACTGCTCGACTATCTGAGAAAACGTACATATCTACAAATCGTCACTGAAATGGAAAAAGTCGTGACTGATAATTTTATTTATTTTTTTCATAAAACGATTTGGGGAGTACTAATTCGACGAAATTAATCATATCAAACAAAAAGTGTATTTTGAATTTTTAGATAAGTCGCGGCATTTTGCATTTCAGCGACGATGTTGTTACGTCTTTTTGCGTTTCAGGTGACGAAATGCTTGTCTCTTTTCAATACCTTACAAGCGCTTTCAATCTCCAGCACTTGCTACATAGTAAAGTTAGGCAGTAGGAACGAGTGGAAAACATCTACCATTTCAAGGAATATCCCCGCACCAAACCTACGTTCATTTTCGTCCCGTCAGTATAGATGCCAGCAGGATCTCCTTCGTTTACCGTTACTTTACTCCAATCCCGTCTAGAAGGAAAGTTCATGAAACTTTCTGGACAGTTTGCGTAAAAGGTCTGTGATCAATTGTTTTTCCTGGCTCTGAAAGGTTGTCAACTAAAATAGCACCTTGCTCTTTATTACTTATCCAGTGTTTACCACCATACTAGCGCAGCGTGAGTTAGTGTTGGTCTTAAAAAAGCCGTATCCATCCACAGCAAACGTTTTGTTTTTCGTCCCGAATTTCTATTGAAGATCCTCTTGCATGTATATTTCATCGACGACTGAGTGAAAGATCGACCTATTTCGGCGTTTATGAACCAAATTGACAGATAAGGTGTTCTTCAACCAAATTCTCAGATAGGGTGTCTTACAATAAAAATCTGAAATAGGGTGTTCTTGAAATGGTTTCTGAGATAGGGCGTTTCCGAGATAGGCTAATCTTCCACTCAGCCGTCGATACGCTCTCGACATTTGTGTTTCAGCTCAGTTTGGTGTCTAAAAACAACGGCCAGATATCGCGCCTACGTGGATATTCTGCGAGTCGATGAATTGAGGAAAGTGATACTGAATTGCTGTAAACAGCATCCGCTCCATTTTTCTCGGAATGACAAAAAAGTCACATACCACGAGTGTGGCCTGAACAGAGCCCCTGCTATGACTACGTTAACCATTGAGACAAAAGAGGCCACTTTTGTCCTTTTTTGAGTAATAGTAGATTGTCGTTAAGTGCCACCACCCAGATTAACGCAAGTTGAATTAATACATCATCATATGAAATACCTACTGAATCCCACTAAAAGGGCGCAAACAGTGGAAACTTTAAATTACTTACCTGTCAATATTTGCGTGGAAAAAAGTTAGTATATACGAGTGTTCATTTCAATCCGAATATGTACAATATATATGAAAGTTTCATAAACATCTAGAAGATGTCCTTGACGTTTTTATGAATGCAAAACAAAAGTAAAGAAATAAGATTATGAGCTGCTCTGCTCATATTGATTCTCAGTTATTGAAACTAAATTTTTAGTCGCTCAACCAGTTTTTTATTTCAATCAGACGTATGCATGTATGTATTTTATATGGCTTATGGCGCTTGTCTTTAATTTCCAATTTAATTGCCCGTAATACTATCCTTTTTTAAATATTTATTTATTCTTTATACATACATACATATCTACACTCTTTTGCAGAACTACCCAGCCAGCAAGGAAACATACATTTTACGAACATTATGTTTTACGAGGGATTCTCGAGCGGCGAAAAGTTAGAGAAAGGCTCGTAAACGATAAAACAAAACAAAAGTAAAAGAAAGAGGCTTGTAGTAATTTGTCAGCACAAGAAAAAAGTTTCATTCTGTTGGAAATTTTTCCTGAACCACAATATTTTATAATATATAATATTCGCAAACGATTCGCTTTTTCGATCCGTTTACGACTGTTCGTAGGCGCTCGACAATTTCAAGCGAAAAAGTACTCGAAAACGAATCGTAAACGGCTATCATAAACGACTTTTTAGCCGGTTTTTCTTCGAGAAAATATCCAGTTACGAGCTCGTTTACGATGATTTTGCTGGATGGGTATAAAGCCAGTACGAAATTTGTTGTATCTTCCACATATTAAGAAATATGGAAATATGTTGTTCTATGAATTTTGCATGAATTTGAGTTTACCTTTTTAAACAGGTGGCAACCCTCTTTAATATTCTAAATATTCAAACCAAGGATACCTTACCACGTTCGTTTCACGTCACATTTTAATATTTCATTTAACTTATACATACTTTAATTAAATTCTAAATTTAAAATAGGAGGCAAGTCCATTCAAAATATTTTAAAACCAAAACCTTGTCAAACCTTATTCGACATATTAATTGTGTATCTAATTAATTTCCTTAATTCAAGTTGAATCTAATTTCTAAAACATATTGGAACCCTCTTAAAAAAAGTTCAGAAAAAGCATTTTTAACCCATGACAATTTATACCCATAATTTAATAATTGACTTATTAAATAATTTGAGTTTACCTTTTTACACAGGTGGAAAGTCTCTTTAATATTATAAATGCTCAAACTAAATATTTCTTAATACTTGTTTGTTTGACGCCAAAAATTCAATATTTATATACATAACTTCATTTAATTCGACTTTTCAAACAGATGGCAATCCTGTTCAAATTATTTTTAAACCAAAACCTCGTTTAACTTTTTAATTTAATTATAAAATGAGGTGGCAAGCCTCCTACATGCAGTTTGGAAAAAATATTCTTCAAAGTAATTTTGATCTGTATTCATATCGAAGTAATTTATTTAACCTATTGCTTATATTGAATCTAACTTTGTAACCCTCTGCAAAATATTTTCAAACTACAATCTCTTTCATCTGACATTCATATCAGGATATATGTATGTACATTTCAATTGTGTGCCTTTATTTAGGTCGAACTTGCCTTTTGAAACAGGTGGCAACCCTCCCACATATAATTAGGAAATAAAGCCTTTTCAAAACCATTTCGAACGATAGTCATAGTGTAATAACTGACTTAACTTAAAAATAATTTGAATTTAATTTTTTTATCAGGTGGTAACTCTTTTTGAAAAAAAAAGAAAATATTGCACATTCACAGGCCAAGCCCTTTCATTTAATACCTCAGTTTGTAAAATCGAACGAACGGTACAGATTTGGTATGACGAAAAAGTTTTCGCGTATTATGCATTCATATGTACATACATCTGTGTGCATTTATATATGTATGTACATAGATTACTACAAGTAATTTTTAGCAAAAAAAAACCGACTTCAACTCTCATATAAAAAAAAAATATATATATATATCTCATGATCCACTGATCGGATCTTAACCAGATTAGTATGGGACCACCACTACCTTTCCGATGCAAAAAGAATTATCGAAATCGGTTGACGTGGTCAAAAGTTATGCGGTAACATACATAAAAAACAAGTAAAAGCAGCGCTGTCTACGGCTATGCCGAAGGCTTCATACCTTTCATGAACATCTGAAAACTTTACATTAACAGATTACTGTATTTGAAAAAATTTATATATTCACAGCACACATAGATAAAGGAGTTACATATATAAAAAATCTTATCTAAAGAATTAGAGGTATGGAAGATATACCTTATATAGCACCAATCTAAGTGATTTTCACTGCTGTGTGATCGGTATGTAAACCGGTAACACAATGTAATGGGTTTAGCTTCCTACATTAAGGAGATATATCGCAAAAACTGGGATAGGAACAATCAGTGGTATAAGAGATAAAGCTTATACAGCATATATTTTGACGATTTTCTCAGTAGACTTTGTATTATTATTTATACAATAGCTTACGAAATTATTCGGATTTAGCTGTCCAAATAAATTAGTTTTACATTAAAATCTCATATCTGAACAATCAGTTGTA